TCTCTCTCTCTCTCTCTCTCTCTCTCTCTCTCTCTCTCTCTCTCTCTCTCTCTCTCTCTCTCTCTCTCTCTCTCTCTCTCTCTCTCTCTATGCCTCTCTCTCTCTCTGTGCCTCTCTCTCTGTGCCTCTCTCTCTCTCTCTCTCTGTACCTCTCTCTCTCTCTCTGTGGCACGCTCTCTCTCTCTCTCTGTGCCTCTCTCTTTCTCTGTGCCTCTCTCTCTCTCTCTCTCTCTCTCTCTCTCTCTCTCTCTCTCTCCCCCCATCCCTCCGCTCCATCAGCCAGAGGGAGAAAAAGAAGGCGGATATCTTTAAAAGAACGAAATTTTGACAAAACCAACTCCACAGTAGCTCGACAGCACCCATCCATAGCTAACGAGATGAAAGGAGGGAATCAATCAATCAATCAAACAGGCAAGAAAATAATATTCCTAAGTAAAATTTTGATTACTTGATTACGAGATGTGGAATCAATCAATGCAACATTCCTGTTTTGAGAAAACAGAGCCGCGAAACATTTGTATTTTCAAGAACATAAAACAGCGAGATAAATCGCGAAAATTCGTATTTTCAACAACAAAAAACCTACATTAGTAGAAAGGATCAATCAAAAACGCTCTGAGACTGACTATCCTTGCAGAATGGAGGAGATCTAAGCAAAGAGTAGGAGGAGGCATCCTGTGGTTTCGAAAGAAATGGATAATGAGAAATTTCCTAGCGTCAGTCAGCCCAGATGGCAAGTTGAGTGTGGCCAAGTGGCTAACCTAGCTAGGATAAACTGTTGGAAGGACGGGGAGTGGTTAGCATTCTGAACCTGTCTGCAGGACTTACTGTAGGACCGATGTCGGTGCGAATACCCTTACAAGGGTATCCGCCCTGGTTTTTGCAAATGACAGAAAACAACTTTGGTTTAGAGTTGAAGTATACCGCGCTAAGCACGGCTGCGTCTGTAATTGCGTTGACTAGGTGGTTGACCACAAAAGCGAGTGAGTGGGCGCGCAGGCTTAAGGCGCGCGTGATTCTTTTTTGTTGTTGATTGTAAAGCCGGCCCGGACCTCGGTCGTTTTGCTTGGTGATATTATTTATTATTTATTTATTTTTGATTAAGTAGGAATTAAGGATATTTTCTTTTGATTGGTACATTTGACCGAGTCCAGCGCGCCTGTGGAGAGCGGCCCCGACGACGGCGTTGGCAACCACGACGCGGCTTTGTGCGGTGAGCGGGGTATCGTAGGATGGCGCGCGGGGCAATTATGGCACAGTATAAGCAAGCCGGCGCGGGCAAATGGGAGCCGCGCAGCCGTTTTGTTGGCCTAAAGCGTCGCGCCGTACTGCCTATATGGTATTCTGCGGGACTCAGCCCCTGGCTTGGGCTTAGCCCTATAGGTTACGGCATCGGATTACGGAGGTTCTAGGGTCGAGGTCGGCGGGCGTCGGCGCAACAACTGGAGCTGAGCTTGCGGAGAAAACCGAGGGGTTGAGGGTCAACGGGCTATCCCCCTCTCGTTTTTGTTGACAGACGTAGCGGCGGGGCCGATCCACAGGTTAGGTGGGGCTTTAGCAGTCCCCGCACCGTGCATAGGGGCCCTTATTTATGATATTTTATTTGTTTTATTTTTTGTTTTTATTTATTTATCTATTTGTTTTTCCTTTATTGTCAATGCGCGGCCCGTTTTTGCCAGGAGCGCGGTACCATGGGTGTAGCAGGCACCAAAGAGCCTAGCTCACTGGGTGCACCGTTGAACTGTTGAAATACGGACCACGCTCAAACCCAGATGATGGGCTTTGATGAGTAGAAGCCGGATATTCCGAATTGACTGAGGGTCGGGAGCTACATCCTTATTTAGTGAAAAAGGCCTGCTGGTACCAAGCTTGGGCTTAGCCCTATAGGTTGGAGCATTGGACAAATACGCAGCAGGCGCAGGGATCGAGGCCAACAGTATGCAGCTAAGGAGCGAAGGAGCACGACAGAAAGGCTTGAGGGGTTGATGAGCCTGTGGGATTATCCCCCTCGCCTTTTGCCAATGGACGTAATAATGGGCCCGACCCGCGGCACTGACGAGGCGCCAATAGCTCCCCGTTACTTTCTGGTGTTTCGTTTTATTTTTATTTATTTATTTATTTTATTTTTCCCATGGTTATTGGCGGTCCCGTCCTATTTTGAGACGCGATACCGTGTTAGTGTCTGAAGAGCCCTAAGGGCCGGTGGAAAAGGGTAGACCAGCGGGTTTTTCTTGAAGTACAAATCAAGGAACATCGCCAGTCCGCCATCGACTTCCGCGAAAGCCATGCGAAAGCGCTACCTCGGCGCATTGTGCAAGGGGATATGCCGTATGACCGAAGGCCAGACTGCGCTAGCAGCCGCGGGCGCTGTGAGAGCAAAGGGGGCAGTGAGCGGACTGACGCTGTGTATCAGTGGGGGCAGAACGGCGAGGCGATAGCGCTGAGAAGAGGGAGATGAATCCGACGCGATATCGCGCCAGGTACAGCCATAGTGGGGATGGCAGGAGGCTAGCCGAGCACAGCTAGCGACAGGGGACCAGGGCAAGGCAACGGGCGCTGCGTTTGAAGCTACGGGCGTTAGGCTGGCGAGTAGGAACGGGCGGAGTGCCGGGGAGCAGGGCGCGGAGACCATGAAGGAGGGGGGGTGAACCGGGACCGGAATCGCGGCCGGGTGCATACGGTGTATGGGCGACGAAGGCGAAGGCAGTGAGGGAGTGAGGAGACACGAAACTCACCCGATCCGTGAAGAAATCGGGTGAGAGAAAGTACGTTTCTGAGGTTTAGGGGGCGAGCGAGTTAGAATCTGCGGTCAGACTCGGGCGACAGTTAGTAGGAAAATAGGTAGTAGAGAAAGTTAGCTCCGCCGAGCTATGGCGGGAGGGGAGTGACGGGAATAGGAGACGAGACATCGCTCGACTTCAGACGAAATCGAGCGCAGAGAGGGTTGAGGTAGGGGTTTTAACCCCGGGCGAGCGTGGTAGTAGCTTTAGTTTTAGAAATGAGTCAGTAGAATGAGAGATTAGTCGAGAAAGTCGTGCGTGGAAAATGGCGGGGAGAGGCTGAAAGAAAAGTGAATGAACCCAGATGGGTTTGCGCGCTAGGTACATACAAAGGAGGGAGGGGAGAAAGTATTGATCCCACCCGTTTCCTGATGTAAACGGGTGGGAGAAAGGTCGACTCCAATGTTTTTCGGCAGGGCGGATTCGAATATGAAGTCGGTTTAGTTAGGGAGTTAGCAGTTAGTGAGTTAGGAGAGAAAGGTTGTGCGCCGGGGTATGGCGGAAGGAGAACGAACAGAGTGCAAAGCTTGAATCTCGCTCGATCCTTGATGGATTCGAGCGAGACAAGATGCTAAGTAGGGGTTCTTCGATGGGGCGAATTGGATGGGGAAGCCGGATTCGTAAGTTGTGCACGGATCAGGCGGCCCGAGCATTAAGACCTGCGCCTGAAGAAACAAGATCTGCAAGATTGCCATGTATCTTTCCATGTTCTAGCGAGAGGTTCACCCAATTCTGTCCATCTTATTAACGCAATAGATGGGAAGCCAGTCGTGGGGTTAGAGACTTACCGGCTCAAGTTGGCCGGTGCGTTGCCCATCCTATTAGTGGGAGGAGGCTTTCGAGCGCAATGTACCTCTCCACGTCGTAACGGAAGATTCGATCCGGTTTTGCTTATACGATCGATGGAGGTGGCGGGAGACCAGTCGTGGAGGCTGGAACTTACCTGTTCTGATGATGCAACCGATCGGCGAAGGCGGTGTGGACAGTCGTGAAGTTGAAGACTTACCTGGGGGTCGGTATACTCCGGTGGAAGGCCCGCTCGGGTCCGCTCGCTCCGTCGGCTGGAGGTAGCGTGGGAGTAGCCGCTGGGTCGAGGACTTACCCGATTTAGCTGAGCGGCAGGGGTCATGAACAGGCAAGATTCAGGGGCTTCCGCCTGTGCATCAGAGATAGATCCCTGCGCAGTATAAACCGGCT